ACTTTCTCTTCTATTCCTTTAATCTCTTTAGTCACCGTATCGCGTATCAGAAGCTGAGAAACAAACAAAACCTGAACAACAATTCTTAGAGGAAGCCTCTGGTTTTTCGCGGCTTGCTCGCATCCTTCTTGAGAGAGTTTACTACATTCAAGAACTTTACAAGCTTCCATCTTCTCAGATTCAGTCAAGTATCTATGACTCTCCAAGAAAACATCAATAGCTCTGTAAATCCCATCTGAGTTTTTCAGAATACCCTGCGAAATAGTCACTGTGATCTCCGCTAACGCCACAAAGGCCACGAGCTTCAGAGAACCCTCACTCGCGGCCAAGAACAGAAACTCTTCCATCAGTTTTGCTACTTTCTCGAACCCCGAAACATCTTCCAATATTTCATTGGTGTAGTTACTGTAAAAGCTCTTGACGACGGTTTTAACAAGCTCGATATCTTCGAAACTGTCAGCTTTTTCTCCGTAACCTCGGGATAAAATCTTGAGATCTGATGATCTAGCAATGTCGAGCTGTTTGCTGATTCTAATCAGGAATCCATTTCGACATTCGGAACTAGCTTCTAACCAGATCGAATGTTTGAGCGATTCGAATAAGATTTCGCAAGATATTAGCCCTCTCTGATGAGGCAAAAGCCCCTCAACCGCCTCAATGGCTTCTCTCTTTTGCCCTGATACGCTTTCTTCCGCATCGAAAACCCATTTCTTCGCGTATTTACAGACCGTTGAAACAATGTATTCCAAAGGAATGCTGCACGATTTCATCGCTCGAATCATTAAAGGTTCGTATAAGCGAAGCGGAAGTGTGATCAGATCTTCCGATTTCCAATCGATATCGAACAATCGTCTCCTAGGGTTAGGTCTATAATCATCGGTTTCGTCTATGTTCTTGATCAGTTCCCCGAGGAGTCTTGGATCGTATGAAGCTTTATCGATAAGGGAATCGAAGAAGAGATCAACTAGTCCAACATCGTTTAGCTTGTCGAGACTCTTGTCCCCTGAACGAAGAGCAATTACCGTCTCGTTCCAGATGGGCAAAACTCCTTTCTCTAAGAACTCAGATGCCTTGCCCAACAAGTTATTACAGCTCTGTTCTTCATTCATCCCTAAGTAATACGCAATGCAGAGAACAGAGACAATGTTATCAGACGAAAACTTGAATTTATAGCCATAACAGAATCTAGCAACGAGCTCGAAGCTTTCTGGATCAGCTTCTAAATCTCGTAGGATCCAACGCAGCTTATCGATCTCGTTTCGCTCGAGTAACAAGCTCACTCTCGCTGATCTCTTGGCTAGTACTTCCTTCAAAAACAAAAACCAGAGTTATTAAGAAACAAAAGTCTCTGTTTTTTTCTTTCTTTCTAATTTTGCAATGAAATGAGACTTACTTTGTGAAGATGAAATGAGGTACCCTTAACGCAGATATGAAAATCGGTAGAGGATGATGTTGAAATCGAATTCTCCTCGTTATTCGTCCTATCTAATTCTGACATTATTTTGTAGCAGTTTTCTGAAGGATTGTAGATTTGAGAGTTGGTCTGTATCTCTTAGGCTTCAAGAGACAGAGTAGTCAGTTTCGTGTGTTGTGCAACAATGGAAGAAAACAGAGAACCAAAAAGCTAAAAAGTTTTTAAGTTCAAATCTATTTTGAAAGAAAAATAAAACAAATGCTTACCAAGAAAAGTATGGCTATTCCCAAGATATAGGAAGAAGGTTAAGATTTAGTGGGATTCTCCGAGGAAATTTAAATTCCAGGTTCAAAATTAAGCAAATTTGGAACAATTTTTTATAACTTAGTCGTTTTCTCTTGGAAAATAATGAGGAAATGACTCAAAAATCACACCATACGTCTATCATTACTTCTATGAATATTTCTAATTCAATTTTTCAATTTTAGTTAGTTCAACTGATATTTTGTTTCTTCCACTAATCTGAAATTTTGTGAAAACTCCACATATTCATTCACTTATGGTTATTTATTTTTGAGAAATTTTAAAAAATGTCACATCTCATATGCCACTTTACAAAAATGCCACACATTAAAATTGTTTACAAACGTGCCACTATTCATTAAACCAAAAGTCAAATATGTCAT